TATACACACACACATACATACACATATATATATTTTTTTTTTTTTTATAGTACATTGCACTTATTTAAGAATAAGCTGCATATTCTTGATTCAACAGCATCTTTCTATGCTTCAGGATGCTGATATTGATGTTGCAATGTAGTCTGATCACTCCCTGGCATTTCTTTGCATGACCTCCTTTTGTTATGACCTACTGAAAACTATTGTTGTACTGAGGCTCATGTCCAAAATCAGATGCTGTTTGTGACTTCAAAAATCAAAGTAAATTAAACTCATTTCTATTGTTATTTTAGGTCTAGTGCAGATAAATATCAAAATATGTTACAAGGGGGAACAGCACCTACCCACGGGGTGCATTGGAACTCAGTTTGGCCTCCAACCAATCCACATACAAACAATACAAACAATAAATAAGTGTTACATGACTTCATTTTCAGCACAGTGTCCTATTATTAACATCTATTGAGCGTAAAAGCATCAATATAATCTTTGTAAACCCCCAGAGGCTAGTTGCTTAGACCAATTTGATCAATTTATATAACCTAAATAGTTAGGTCTAAGCTCCCATGATTTTTAAAGAATTATCAAGTAGCTCATCTGGCAAGAATAGTGAAATGTCACAATATTAGCTCTTAGCGACCATGAACATCATTGGAACAAGCTATTGTTGGAGGGTTGGGCATGGCTATCATATAGCTGGAGGTGGAGTGGTCCTCACCCAATCTTGAAGGTCCAGTATCCAGTCTTTGCAGTTGGAGTGGACCACAATGTTTTAAGGTAGATGTCCAGATCTTTATGCAAAAATCTGTGAGTTAAAATGGTTTCATGCTTCCCTTATCAGCAGTGCTCCTAGACAGGTACACAATCATTTTGGAATAATATCTATATTTTTAAATTAGGCATTTTTAGAGGTCTCTTTCTCCTGGAGCTTTACTACTTAGAAAACTCATAGCCTTTGAAGGGCATTGCTTGGGAGCTGTGCCACCACCAGTGTATCCACTATTTAAAAAAACAAATCCTTTTGGGGACACAAACCCCTCTATTTAGGCACCAAAGATCAGCAGAACTTTTAAGTCATGCAAGCTGCTTTCATGAATTAGATTTGTTGTTTTAGCACATCCCACAGATGCTCAATCCAGTTGAGATCTGGGGAATTTGAAGGCCAAGGCAATTCCTTGAACTCTTTGTCATATTCCCCAAACCATTCCTGAACATTTTTTGCAGTATGTCAGGGTACATGCTGAAAGAGGCCACTGCCATCAAGGAACACCATCACCATGAAGGGGTGTACATGGTTTGCAACAATCTCTAGGTAGGTTGTATGTTTCAAATAACATCCACATGAATGCCAGGACCCAAAGTATCCCAGCAGTGCTTTTCCCAGAGCATAACAAGGTTTCTGCTGGCGTCCCTTCTTCCATTAGTGACATCTCTTCTCAAGGTAAACAATGCACATGCACCCGGCCATCTAAGAGAAAATGTGATTTATCTTATCAGGCGAAATAAACTAAGTAGCTTCTTCACTTGACTAGCAGGTCTGGTGAAAAGGAATCAGAGAGGATAGTATCAGTCTGTCCTGGGCATGAACCCTGTAGATTAGATAACTATAGACAACTATGAAATGGTGGAACACAAGGTTCCAAAAACTGGTAAATTATTGTATACATAAAATAAAGTATCAAATACTGTACAGGGGTAGCTAAGGGAGGACTAAGACTAAAATCAGTAAATGTGCATCTAATTAGGCTTTATTAAGTAGTGCCTCAGACACTGAAACTTAAATAGTTAGCATTACTATTAGCACAGGACAGATAATGAATACCTGCAATAGAGCATAACACCTCAGTTGCTATGCTAAGCCAGCTACTTACCAATACCAAAGAACCATGTCCTTTACAGAACAGCTTCCCAACTGACACTAATAATATATTATAAACAATTATCTACAAAATCAAATGTGCATAGTGCAAAGTGAAATTGAGAAAAAGGAAAGAAAAGCAAGCGAGCCCGACTGCCGTTTCAGTGCTAGATGCACCTTTGTCAGGGGCCAAACACTAACTGCAGTAAAGTGTGGGATTTAAAAAGGGAACTGGAACCCTCCTCCATACTCAATTAACCAATTCACAGTAGCGGGATTCGAGAGTCTCCTAACTACCAAAGACACACCTCCATAGGTGTGTGGAGAGTGTATACTATGCCCAATGTAATGTACTAAATCTTCCTCCACTGGGAGGGGGAGAAGGGAGGAAAGGAGGAGCAGATCATATGCTGCTCATAAGACATAGAAGTTCTCAGGGATTATCATTTAAAGATTGATTGTCATAAAACATAAAGATTATTCTTCTAGGGCAATGCTATTATGTCTAGTACCAAAGTGATAAATAGGAAACTGGTGAGAAGTGGTATGAATGAATGAGAAGTAAAAGAAAAATGAGTAAACATCTATTACTCTGTAAAACTGTTAATAAAGTATGTACATATACCTATCTACAAGGTAGAACAAGACAGTCTAAAAATCTCAATATCATAAGTGTAATATCAAAAATGAACAAATAGCTCCAGAATATCAACAAACAACCTTCTTCCATTGCATCATATTCTGATACTCACGTCTCCATTGAAGGCACTTTCAAAGGTGGGTAGGGATCATTGGTACTCTGACCAGTCAGTGGCTATGCAGATCCATATGCAGCAAACTTTTGAGCTATAGTAGCTATTCCATGTAATCAGACCAAACATGTTAGCCTTCGATCCCCAAGTGCATCAATGAGCCTTGGGAGCACACAATCCTGTTGCCGGTTCACCAGTTGTCCTTCCTTGCACCACTTTTGGAAGGTACAATCCACTGCATATGGGAACATATGGGAACATCCCACAAGACTTGCTGTTTAGGAGAAGCTCTGACCCAGTAGCCATCACTATTTTGGCTCTTGTAAAAGTCACTAAGTTCTTTCTGCTTGCCAATTTTTACTGTTTCTAACAATTATTGTCTAATATATCCCCTTGATAGGTACCATTATAACAATATATTCAACATTATCTACTTCATCTGTCAGTGGTTTTAATGTTGTGGCTGATCAATGCATAAAAGATGAAGAAGATATAGTCACTAACTTGACCTCTGTCTCAGTGAAAACCTTTTCTGGATGATACGCCTGGAGGAGAGGCTACGCCATGGGTCCATATCATCACACTGCCATATCCCCACCTATCAGCCATAAATCATAGGGTACTAAAGAAAATTGGGAGGAGAGAAAGTAGAAAGGGGGTGTTAAGACACCCCTGGCACACAGGAGTGAAACCGCCATTTAGTTAAGCTTCCCCTTTCACAATCCTGCAAGCTCCGTTTGTATATACTTCACCGTACGAACCGCAACCAGGGGAAGGCGTCAATCTCCCGAACGGAATCCGTACAGGTGCTCCAAACTCCCGAACAATAATCCACGAATCGTCGCTAACCGCTGAACAAGTATATCCTCCAAGCTGCTCTAACCGTATGTAGTAAATCCCCCCAATAACGAGACCAAGCTCCGCATTGAGGGTAAAACAAGAACTGTGTTTACTGTGGGCTACCCGCCCGTATTTATGCAGGTCTCCCACTTGGTGGACACTCCCCTAGGGGACCAAATGGGAGACTGTAATGACAGACATATGGCTATTTCAGACACACAGGCACAAAAGATTCCCACAATGCATCATGGTTTCCTCCCCTCTGCCCTGGAGATAATTGAGAAGTAATTCAATTATCTCCAGGACAAAGACAAATTGCCATTTTAAGTAAGATACCAGAAAACACATGAAAATAAATACACAACTACCGAACATATTACATTCGTGCAACGTATCCCCAGATAGCCTGGATCTGAGGGCATATTCTTAGCGAATAGCGCTCAGATCCCATATGCATAGTTCAATCGCCATGGAGTCAAAGTCTTTACAGTCTTTCGGTATGCGATTGACTCCATGGGAGGCCCTTTGTGTAATCCAAAACTCCCGAACGGCCGGTGTTCGCATGCCTTTGTCGACTGAGAAGGGTGGTCTGTGCTTTTAGCGGTGTTCAGCAGAAAAAGTGTCCGTTTTTAGTTCCATAGAATCAATGCCGAACACCGCTGGTCTTTCGCATGGTTTAAAATGGCAGCCGCCTCGTGGTCGACATACGAACGACGACCACCCTGTATTCGGTTATAATTAAGAGGTGTCTGCGGTTAACCACAACGTTCTAATTGGGATCAAGAGCAGCACACTTCTCTTCTGGGTGGCCGTCCGTTCGGTAGGTTCATTCGGCAAAAAGTCAACCATACGCACGGGGGTATAGGAACAATTTCAGGCAACAGGCAATTTCCACGAAAGAAAGGCAAGCTAGACAAACCGACAAATAATAGTTATACAGATGGGTCTGTCACAGGGGGCTTTACATTACATAGATTTGAAGTAAATGAGCCAATGTAACTAGCTGAAATACATTGGTCCATTTATTTAAAAATGCTAAAACAATGGTTAGTATAATTGAGTGTCTATTCTCAAAATGTATTTTATTTTATAAAATATGCTAACATAGTAGATTAAATTAGATTATTTTTTTTAATTCTTTATTTTTGTTGTGCATGTATAACATAACAAGCTTGCCATGCCACAACAGCGTCTGATAACAGACTGGAAAACGTCAGTATGGCATTCCACGAGTCAGCACAATTTTTTATTTATTTTATAATAGTTAACCATCAAGCTAGGCAAACATTTAGTGTTACAAGTGGAAGGGATAGTATAGTTTAAACTTCAAACATGCTTGTCAAAGATATGTTAGTGGGGGGGGCGTGGCTAACCATGGAGCAAGATGGACGCATGAAAACTTGCTCCGGCACCTTGGGCACCTAATCCAGCGCAATCTTTAAGAAAAAAGCTGCATCCACCTTAACAAAACAAAAATGTCTCAAAATAAAAGCAAGAAAAGTTCAACAAAAAAGATGATTTTCTTCGGCCCAAAACAAATTTCCGAGGACATGGCCGCGCAGGCCCCAAAAGTCGCCGGAGACCCAGAGTCAGGCGACGGCACAAAAAATAAAGAACCAAGCATATCCACGCAAATCACAAAAGCTGACCTCACAGCAGCCCTGGAGACACTCTCCAATAGTCCAATCACAACATGGCAGCACACAGCAGACTCCGTGCTGAAGGACATCCAGGAGCTGGGTAAACAGACGTTGCACATGGAGGAAAAATGCAATGAATTCGCTACAGCTCATAATGACCTAGCCAATAATGTGGAACAAATGGCAGAAAAAATCACCCTCTTTGAAGAAAAAATGGCGGACATGGAAGACCGTGGAAGACCGTTCCCGCCTAAATAATCTGTGATTGAGAGGAGTCCCTGAGGAAATCTCCAATAACGACCTTCCATCATATGTGGACATGCTGCTGGTAGATCGAGTGCACCGCATTCCAAAGCCACGCTATCTTGCACAAAAAGTACCAAGAGACATCTTGCTACGAGCCCATTACTTCCACATAAAAGAACACATCCTTCGGGAAAGCAGAATGAGGGCTAATACTCCACAGTAAGGATCTATGCTAACCTCTCAGCTGCAACACCTAGGAGGAGAAAAGATTTCCACCAAGTCACCACGACATTGAGATCACACAGTATAAGCAAAAAACAGGGTGCAAGAGAATACTGAGAACGGGCAGCAGCTGAAAAAGCCTGCCCTTCAGTGGGTCCCTGCTCAGATCTCAAGCTGGTTTTAGCTCATCTTGTGCCATTATAGAGAAAACCTCTCTGAAACATATCAGACTGGTCCCACCCATACGGGCAGTCCAGATCCGAAATGCCAGCAAGTTCTCTCTGCACAAGAGATACAGCAACCCCAGACGATCGTTTCTGCCTTGTTAGGCATCATCAGTGAGGCATAGCTGATATCTCTCTAGGCACGGGTCCACGTCTGGATTACCCTTCAAACTTGTGGAGAGCAAAAAACAGGGCGCAAGATACAGGTGGGGTTTCCCCATGAAACAGGTAGTATCAAAAGACAGCACAACAATGGTGATATCCTCACCGGAAGAGAACCTGAAGAAGTTACAAGCCTGGGAATTAACGGTGGAGCCCGCCGAACAAAATATACCGCAAACAGACCGGATTGGAAAAAGGCCCAGAAGAAACACTAAACCAGTTGACTCACTGGTTCACAGGCAAGTACAAACACAACAATACAAACTTGCCCTTCTGAAACATACACAACACATAAACATACACATACCAGGACATGTAAAACCAGAGGCTAAAACGGGACTAACTACCCTGGGATCCCCAGAGTTAACCCAAGATGGACCTGGGCCTCCCGCCATACCTGTGACGAAGCGCGAGCAGAGCAGCGGCCAAAGTGGGGGTCCCTGGTCTGGAATGGAACAGCTGAAACAGAATGCCTGTCTTGTCTCCCTTGCCTCTCCTCCTTCCTCCCTAAACTAAAGCACTGTGGACAAAAGATGAAATCGCAACAGAGACACTATGCTGCAAATATAGCTTAAAAAAAAAAAAAAGTATAACACCTACCCAAATGGTCCAAGACCCAGGGCAACTTTAGACAGCATATGCAAACATCATGGCTAACCGAAGCAAATGAGCTTACGTAAGACATGCAATATAAGGAAGCCAGAAGCATAGCAGCAAGAAAACCGCGGTCCATGGAAATCAAATCTGGCCGTAATGGTGAAACAAACAGGTGGTGATGGGGTGGGGGCGGGTGGGGGGGTTGGATGGGATAGGAATACTTAACGGGGTAATGTGTTGATGCAGTTAAGAAAACTAACTGACAAGTTTTCAAATATGTTTCATGATGTAAACAGATGTGTTAAGATACCATAACAAGACTATGATCCCACGCTAGGTTGATAAACGCTAGGCAACCCCAAGGGATGCCCCGAAGGCGTATACCACACAGATCAAATGACTCCAACGATAGGAAGCACACTAAGCCAAATGCAGCACAAACGTGGAAATGGCTGTACTGCACACGGAACCCCCCATATGAGATACAGGCAAACATGGCCCCAATATAAGCCTCTGTTCACCACAAAACACAAAAGATGCAACATAACAAAATAAGAAGGTGCCCAATAGCCACATTCGTGGAGGAACACAATCTCTCCAACCCCCATGATGTGGTAAACCCACACAAAGTCTCAGGAAGAGACACCTTGTATATAGTTCACATACCGCACCCAAGTTACATTCCCTCCACACAACCATACACATGGTCGGTCACAAAACAACAGAATAACTACACAAAAACAAATCGGCGTCGCCACCTCACCAATCACACAAAATACTGGTTAACCCTCCCATATCTCAAACTACAAATCCACAGCAATAAGAATAACAAATCAACTCCTATTGGAGCGCTACAGAACGCTCATCTACGACATAAGAAACAACACTGGTTTACGCGTATATCACATGAGCAGCTTCAATACACACTCTATAGAGTATGAAAATACAGACAATCAATGCACGCGGACTAAACACACCACATAAACGGAGACTCCTTATAGAGGATGCAAAGCGCACCAAAACAGATACACTGTGCGTACAAGAGACGCATTTTGTGCACAATAGGGTGCCCTCATTCGCAGGCAGAGACTACCCCACACAATATCACTCAACATACTCCTCCAAGTTAAGGGGTATCTCAATACTTATACACAACTCGGTATCATTCGAACTACTGCAACTTAAGAAAGATGCACAAGGCAGGTACCTTATATTGCACTGTAAACTTAATGACACACTATATACCCTGGTGGGCATGTATGGATCCAACACCAACCAAAGAAACTTCTTGCAAAGGGTGTTAACTGAACTTCCTACTACATGCCAAATGCCTACAATCATATGTGGAGACCTCAACCACGTAATGCAGCCTCGCATAGACACCACACTGCCGAACAAGTCCCCCAGACATACAACACTACGCAACCAAGCCACAGCAATAATAAAACTATTAGCAGAACACAACCTTTATGATATTTGGAGAACACAACACCCAAACGATAGAGAATTTGCGTTCTATTCCTCGGTACATGGAACATACACCAGAATTGACTATATATTTACATCTGGAGACCTCCTACCAAACATAACCCATAGCGAAATAGGAAACATAATATGGTCGGATCATGCCCCAGTACAAATAACCTTAAGAGCTAAATTCCAATTCTGAGGGTCAACACCATGGCGTCTTAACGACATTCTTCTACATAACCCAGAATTCCAAACTAAACTAAAGGACCACTATAGTGCCAGGAAAACATACTCGTTTTCCTGGCACTATAGTGCCCTAAGGGTGCCTCCACCGCCCGGCTCTGGAAGGGGTTAAAACTTACCTTTTTCCGGCGCTGGGTGGGGAGCTCTCTGCCTCCGATCCTCCCCGTTGGCTGAATGCGCACACGCAGCAAGAGCTGCGCGCGCATTCAGCCGGTCGCATAGGAAAGCATTATCAATGCTTTCCTATGGACGCTTGCGTGATTCTCTCTGTGAAGATCAAAGTGAGAGCATGCAAGCGCCTCTACCGGCTGTCAATGAGACAGCTGCTAGAGGCTTTGGGGGAAGGCTTAACCCATTGATAAACATAGCAGTTTCTCTGAAACTGCTATGTTTATAAAAGAATGTGTTAAGCCTAGCTGGACCTGGCACCCAGACCACTTCATTAAGCTGAAGTGGTCTGGGTGCCTAGAGTGGTCCTTCACTGAAGAGATAACATCTTACTTCATCCTAAATGAAACACCAAATATTACTCCAGCCACAATGTGGCAGGCTCACAAGTCGGTCATACGGGGCACTCTCATCAGCCAGGAGTATATCGACCTACTGAGATTGCTTAGGGAAGAAACCATAGCACAGACCTTAAGCCCATCCCCCTTAAGCCCATCCCCCTCAACACAGCAACACAAACACGCTGAAAAGAAAATTTAATGACATACACCTGCGGACCACAGCCATCATGACACAAAGACTGAAATTAAACACATACACCCAGGGAAACAGGGCAGGGAAGGCCTTAGCAGCACTCTTGCGACACAAACGACAAAATGCAAAAATACCGTTCCTCATAAATGCGCTAGGGAACAAAATATACAACCCACAAGAAATAAATGATACAATGGCAGACTACTATGATACACTATATAACCTACAAAAAGATGGCCATACACACCAACCACAGGCAACGGAGATAGACTCCTTCTTGAAAGAAGATCATATACCACAACTCTCACAGACTGACCGAATGATATTAGAAGAACCCATCACGCAATCTGAAATAGCAAATACGATCAAAGCCCTCTCAAAAGGGAAATCACCAGTCCCAGATGGGTTCACAAACCATAAACTATAAGACCTTCTCACATCTATTGACCCCTAAATTGGAAAAACTGTACAACAGTATTTTAAACACAGGAAAAATACCACCGGAGATGTTGCTAGCCCACATAACAACATTACCAAAACCAGGGAAACCACCACACAGATGTCAAAACCTGCGCCCCATTTCACTACTAAATACAGACCTAAAACAATTGGCAAAAATCTATGTGAATAGACTGGGGAATATTATACCGACACTGATACGAAATGACAAGGTGGGATTTGTCCGGGGCAGGCAGGGTTCTGGCGGGACCAGAAAACTCATCAACATCATACACAAAATCCAGAAAACCGGGAAGCTCAGTGTGGCACTGTTATGGGCAAATGCAAATATTACAAGTTTTAGAATGAAATGTTGTATTTCTGAAACTGTGTACTTTGTCTTTAAGAGATATTGCAAACTGACAAGGTGTTAGAAATGGAACATTTTGTTTTTCATAGATGTTTCTTTAAGCAATAACCTCAGTGCATAATATGTTTGCGCCATTTTGTCCCAGACGAAATTCCAATAACAATAATGCATAAACAAGCTTCAAGGCTATACTACGACTCTTTCAGTACACAATATACTGTGGTAACCCCAAATTAATGGAACTTCCCCAAATCCGGGAATCTCCCACGACTGTGCACTTACGTCTTAGTATAAACAACAGATAAGCTATTCAGACTTTAAGATGCCATCTTGAACTAAGTCAGGAAAATTTCCATGACGTATGCACCCTTTAGTTATGGCCTTGTATGTTTGCCAAGTTAAGGGAGGTCCTAAAATGAATAAAGTAAAAGAAGTGTTACTTTTTCATATATGAACTACGGTAACCCTAAAATGGATACACCTAAGGTATAAATAGGTGTACTTTTAAATGTTAATACACAGAGGAGAGACTTGGAGACAGATGCTGCTCCATCTTGAAATGACAGAGAGGCTGACATGATGACATGTTCAGAAGGGTATGTGAACCTATTAATGATATTTGCAAGCATTTAGTTTAATCTTATAAACTCTGCTATAATGGATTTTATATTTATATTTTTATATAATAAATATCCAAAAAGACAAAACTATTGCTTCCAAAACAATCCTTATTTTATATTGTATTCTCAATTATTTATATATGTTAAATAGAGGATCTCTTACTAACTATATAAAATTATGGCTAAGATATCTGTATGGTTAGCCCTACTAAGTTCTATGTTTTAAGACATTTTAGTGGTAAATAAGGGAACCACCTGTGGTTACAGCACTGTCACTAGATGAGGAGAAGGCATTTGACAGGCTGCACAGGGGATACCTGAAAGCTGTGTTACGGAGGTTTGCATTGCCTGAGTGCATCACTACACTGGTCTCAGCGCTATTCAACAACCCCGCAGCAAAAATAGTCAATGGAGGTTTCACATCCAAACTATTTCACATCTCCAATGGGTCTAGACAGGGCTGCCCACTATCACCACTACTCTTCATACTAGCACTAGAATCATTAGCACAACACGTTAGAGAAGCACTCGACATACATGGCATACTAGCGGGAGGAAAAACACATAAAATCACTATGTTTGCGGATGATGTGATGCTCACAATGTCCAAACCTGAAACCTCTTTACCTACACTCCAAAGCATAATAAAAATGGTTTAGTGACTGCTCCTACTACAAATTAAACATCATGAAGACACAGGCAATGGGCCTCAACCTCACCAACATGCAACTAGCCAACCTACAAAGCACACACACATATGACTGGAGACGGGACCACTTTACCTTCCTAGGAATTGACC